CTGCTCCTGTAGAGAACCTCCACTCGATCTGATGGAAAACAAGCAGCAGTGTCACGGCATGATAAGAAAAGGAAAGCTACAAAGAGAGCAAAAGCCAAGGCATAGCTACTCAACACACTGACTTCTCAGAGATGTTTGTGTTGACACCTACCTCTAGGACACAGAAGAAATCTCTCTATCTAGGCACCCTCCAAATATCTGAGCTGGAAGGAGACTGGGAGCTGAAGATGCTCCACAACAAAACATCACAGTTGACTGCATGTGTGAAGTCCAGAAAAGGACATAGGCCAGAAGGCTTAAATACAGGTCCACCAAGAACAAGTATCTCTTCTCAACACAAAGGGACTGACTCTGCACTAAACCTCACAGTTATCTGCTGAATGGATTTCCTCCCTCTCTCTTCCCCTGTTCCAGGGCTTCCTGCTGCATGCAACTCACTGATCGCTTCCACACCAAGAGTAAAAATACAAGAAATTCTCGCCTACCTGACACTGCATCTAACTGTTTGGTTAGAGCAGCCATAATGACATCATTCTCCACTATATAACCCATGTCTTCTAAGTTATTTTTATCAAAGATTATCATGGCTTCTGAACAGGCATCCCACACCTGTTTGGGGAAGAGAGAGAGAAAGAAAGAAAATATTATCACAAAGCATAAACTCAGCAAGCATTATGCAGCTCCATAAAGAACTGCCCACAACTCTCCCTTAACAGAGAAAGTTTATGGGAAATTTCTAGAGCTTCTATCTGGAATCATCCCTCCAGCCTCTAATGTCAGGAGACTGATGGAGGATGTAGAAAGGTGAGAGTCTCCTAGAAAGGCGAGAGTCTCCTAGAAAGGCTACCCCACCAAGAATACAAAAGGCTTAGTCACAGTACTCTGTTCTTCTCCAGACAGGAAGCAAATGATGGGCCATTGGGGTAAATATTTCTGAGAATTCTAGTTACATTAGCAGAATCAGACAGACTGCATTCATAGCAGTGAGTTAAGCACCTGCATCCGGTGGAAGGGTTTGAATCGCAGGCTGCAGACATGATCCCAGGCACCAAAACCTAAAGGAGAGAGAGAAGGACCCACAACATGAAGAAAAACCCATCACAATGAGACCAAAATGAGACTCAAATACACTTTTTTCTCTCTCTCCCCTCAATCCCTTACTGAGGAATACTCTTGCAGCCTATCCATACAGTCTGCTTTCTCTACCCATGTATAAGACTCCCACACCACTCTGTTGATACTGATGCAAGACAGAAGAGAAAAAAAATTAGTGGCTTCCTGATTTCAGGAATTCAGCGTAACAGCGAGCTCTAATTACAGTAATACTTAGGTTCTGAACCGGGGGTACTAGAGGGAGGGAAAGGCTCAAGGACACAGCTTATTAAAACTCTTCTTTCATCATTAGGAAGCAGGGCTCAGACTAGGGATGTAAATGGTTAACCGGTAAGCCCCGCCCTGTTTTGTGTCTCATAATGGTAACTCCAGCAGCACCGAGCTGGGGCATTAGTTCTGCAACAACTCAGAGCAAATTACCAGCACCACTTGCTGGAGCACTTGGGTTGTTCTTGGAGTTCAGACATCAAAGTCCTAACCAGACCTAAACCTACTTGGTTTACTAATAAGTACTATGGCTCCAAGCTAGCAGTGTTAGGGAGGATGAACCAGCAAACATTTTCCCACATACCTAAATATTCATGCTGTGAAAACAAAAAAGAAAGGGAATAAAAGGTTGGAGGAGCCAGCTATATACTAGAATCAGATACAAGGCTATTTCAGAAATGTGAAATGAATTTTTGTGGCTACAAACCTCAGTCCAGTTGCCTAGGAATGGAAAAGCCTTCACATCTCAAAATCCATCAGCACTATCAACATTATCCCTCAGCAGAGAAGTCAAAGACTGAGTGGCCCCAGTGGACTGAACTACGATGAAGAACCAATTCCTCCAAAGGTGAGGCATATAAACTAGGGAACAGTGTGGGTAGCTTTCTTTGCACAGCCCAGGCTGTAACTGTTCTGTGGATACCCCAGGGGTGTCTGTTCAAGACACTAATTCACTAGCACTGAAATCGCACAAAAAATCTATACAAACTGAACAAGCATTCCAAAACAAGCCATGCCTCTACCCTAGAAAAGCCTGACACACCTCAATTCAGAATGCATGGCAGTTAAGAAACAAAGAACAAGAATCAGTCACATCAGTTTAAGAATAACAGACAGTCCCAATCTGAAGAATTCTCAAGGGCCTCACAAAAATAAAACCAGTTCCAGTTTTAGGTTAAAGTTTTAAACAGAAAGAACAAGAAGAGCTGTACTCACTGCTCAGAAGGGTGGCTGAACCAAGGGAGATAGAACTGACCCTGTTACTGTAACTCTCAGGTAAACAGTCAGTCGCTTTCCGAGGGCCAGCTTCCAGTAACAGGATTTTCTTTTCACGGAAGTGGACATCATGTCCTGAAACATGCATACACACATCAAGATACTTTTAATACATAGAGAAAGAAATTGGTTTTTATTAAGAACTCCATGCACCTTGCAATGAGACATTCAGATAAAATTCCCTACAGGAAAGCATTCAGTACAGATTTCTAACTAGGTAAGTACAGATTTAATATTATGGAGGCATTGTTTGCAACTCCATGGTTAAGGTTTTATATTGAAAACTACAGTGTAACTTCCTCATACTTGCAGCACTTGTTGAGTGTGAACAAATTTTCTGGAAGTTTACAAGCAAATTTGTTAGTTTCCAATATAAAGTTAAGCAAAAACAAATTACTTATGAAACTTAGCATTGGTGCCAGTCTTTCCTTTGTCTCAAATGATCTTTATGAAGGAACAACATAAGCCCCTCAAACTTTCCACAGTTAAAATGGTTTGAAATCTTTTGCACAGGTTCTACTTGAAAAAAATTAAGTGGCAATTAAGCTAAGTAATTATTACATATCTAATTACTTTGGTGATACAGGCTACAATAAGGCTCAGGAAATTCATAAATGGGGTTACTGGGATCTTAAAAATAACTCCTCCTCCTCCACAGCTAATTTGCATGCAACATTCTGGTGGCTCTAACGACTGAGTACTGTGAACGAGAGTGAACACGGATCAAAAATAGTTCTCATTGGCTGGTTACTTTGACCAACTGTTACTGCTTTTTAAAGGTTCTATGGCTGCATATTAACTTTGGGGATAAGTACTTGAGAGGCTCCCTGAAGCACGGCTGCTTCAGTGCCACTGAGCACTGACTTACCACTGGGATAAGGCAGGGATGTAAAGGGAACTTTTAAAACAGAGAGACATTTGGACATAGGGAGTAGGTTCTCCCTGCCCCCTTCACATAGGGCTCATCTCACAGAGCCCTTTGAACTCATAAATACATTTTAAATTAAGGCCAGCTTCACCAGTACATTTCAATTGCTTTGCACTGCTCAGATTTTAGTGCATCAGTGAATTTATCCTTCAAAGGTTGTTTTTAATGGTTAGTAATATGTATAATAAATAACTTGAAATGTAACAGCTAACTTTCTTTTTAGATCTTTATGATGTTTTAATTTTTTTTAAAGTTAAGTAAATTCCAAGACAAAAAAAAAATACTAAACACGCCCACACTATGTTTAGTCTGCAGAAGCGAAGAGTGAGGGGGGATTTGATAGCAGCCTTCAACTTCCTGAAGGGAGGTTCCAAAGAGGATGGAGAAAGGCTGTTCTCAGTAGTGACAGAAGGCAAAACAAGGAGCAATGGTCCCAAGTTGTGGTGGGAGAGGTCCAGGTTGGATATTAGGAAAAACTATTTTACTAGGAAAGTGGTGAAGCACTGGAGCCTCCATCCCTAGCAGTGTTTAAGTCTCTGCTTGACAAAGCCCTGGCTGGGTTGATTTAATTGGGATTGGTCCTGCCTAGAGCAGGTGGCTGGACTTGATAACCTTCTGAGGTCTTTTCCAGCTCTATGGTTCTATGATTCTAAGGTTGCAAGCATGTATTAGTAAGTTAAAAGTAAAAACATATTATTGGGTTCCAGCAGTTTAGCTCCTAATTAAGCATTACAAACTCATGAAATTCAAAATTACAATTGCATTTAAAAGATATCCATGTGTTATGCAAGATATGGAAGTTAAGGATCTGAAAAATTTTAACTCTGCTTTGTTTCCCTGTAGTGATGGAGAAAAAAAGTGCATGAAAGTTGACTAATACAAGTTATAAATCATTCCTGAATCCCAACTTGCCCTACTTCCAGATATTCATCCTATCTCCTGCACAGAAAAGAAGAAAAACAGGACACATGAAAACAGTTGGCTACTAGTTGGAATATACCCACTCATTTCAGAGCAGAAATTAAAGAAATTAATTCATTTAAAAACCTCAATTTTGTAAGTTAATAAAAATACCTAAGTGCGTAAGCATAGGCTACTGCTGCATAGTTTCAAACAGATTCTCCTTTCCTTGCCCCCAGTAAATATGCCACTTCTCAACAAAAGCTTTACCCATAGAAAGTATAACGAATTGCCCTGACTGAATTAGAGCTGGTCTGCACACGGTGTCGTGGGTGTAATTTTCCCGGCCCTTCAACAATCAGCGCATCCCTCTATGGAGGATATATTTATACTCCCCATAGGGGTTACTTCCCTCTTCTCTGTACCCTAGAAGTTGCACCCCAGAAGGATCGTCTCACAGGGAAGCCATATACCCGTTTTCAGAGGTGGAGGGGAGCGTTGCACCGTTTCAAGGCTACCGGCAGGGTGTGAGCGAATCTCAAACCGGGCACCACAGCCCATCATCAAGCCCCCAGGGTTTCACCGAGTCTAGGCTCGTGTCCTCCTTCTGCCCTCCCCCGCCGGACCCAGAGGGGTCTCTGGTCACATTCCCGGCCAGTCAGAACCGGGACACGCTCCCATCCCGCAACTAAGAGGATGAACCCCCAGGCCAGAGAGCGCAACCAGGCCTTACCCAGCGCCGCGGCCATAGCGCTCCCGACCATCCCTCCGCCCGACACCACCACATCATACACCGCCCGGCCCGGCCCGAAAGCGGAGCCATCCCCTAATCGGGGATAAGAGACTACAACCCGCCGACACCACCATCACTGCGGAAGTGACGGACGCAACACCATAACAACCACCCACATCGGAAGTGACAAACAGGTGCTATGGCAACGGTGCGCTAACAACCGAGGTGCAGGCAGGGCGACTCCTTCCGGGACAGGTGTTCCAATCCACGGGCGCTGGGAAAGGCGATCATTGGCCATTGAAGCAGTGACGACAGAGAGGGTGGGCTTAGAGATTTAGCCACAGCGCTAATTGGAGTAGCTACGGGCAACCACTGACCAATGAACAGGTAGGGCCCGCCGGAGGGCGGGGCTAGGCACAGCCCGTGGGGACCAGAGATGACAGTGTCAAGGCTACCGGGAACCTCAAGCGGGGCCGAAATGGAGCCGCCTGGGGCGCGGACCCGACTGGTAAGATAAGGGAGGGGGCGGAGCCCCATAGGAACCACTGAGGTTTTTTTTTTCCCTTTGCGGGGACTGAAGGGCCGTGTGACAGTCATGTCACAGCCATGACCAGTTACCATGACAACGGAGCTTCCCTGCTTCTGGCCATGGAGGCCTCTTCTTGCAGGGGCGTGGGCGGCCTCAGCGAAGCAAGGAGTTGAAGTCAGGTCTCCTTTGTCCCTGTGCCTGCACCACAGAGCAGCCTTTGTCCCCCTCTGGCCTGCACTGCTCTGTACTAGCCCGATGCCTTGGACAGCAGCAGCTACCTGAAATGATTCACTGGGAGTCAGGAGGAATAGTTGTGATCAAATTCTGGAAGTCTACAGTGGGACTGTTTGCAATGTGGAGGGGTGTAATTAATGGGGAGACTACAGGCAGTCCCTGGGTTACGTACAAGATAGGGACTGTAGGTTTGTTCTTAAGTTGAATTTGTATATAAGTCAGAACTGGCGTCCAGATTCAGCCGCTGCTGAAACTGACCAGTGGCTGACTACAGGAAGCCCCCGAGTCAGAG